TGTTGGTTCACTTTTACCATGTTCTTGAAATTCTAAATACCAAAGACTTGTGTTGCATGCTATGCTTTTCTCCTTGATTTGTTATATTTCAGAACAAAGATTGATTTCTTTCACAGGTTCTAAAAATGTGGGTAGGAAGCAAGAAATATCAGAAGCAAGAGCAGCGCAAAGAGCTCGACAGCCTGTCAGGATGCAGATGTACTAGACAGGGTCTGCAATTCTTTCTAGTGCCTTCCAGTCCTATGGTGGCAGCATGCTCTGTCTAATGGAAAGAGCACTGAGCCAGGAGGAAAAGATCTGAGTTCTAATTCTGACTTTTCAAGTGGAGGACACCACGGGTAATTTGCTTAAACTATCCAGTCTCATCTTTAAAATGAGAGGTTTGGTCTGATTTGTTAAAATCTCTTATAATTCTAATATTATGATTCTATAATCCTACTGATTGCTTGGAAATCCAGTCACCTGCTATTAACAGCTGACGTCGAAATTTTGCTCATTCCTTAGAATCATTTCTCAACCTCTTCTGCAACTAAAAATGGCCATAGGACACAATTCTGGCTAATCAGAAGTAAGCAGAAATCTGCAGGGGGTTTTGGGGAAAGTTTGCTTTTCTGACATGGCACCACCATATCTTCCTTGTTGCTTCCTTCTTCCTACGTAGAAAGCTGTCCACTTGGGGAAGCGGCTGGAGTTGGCAAGAGATTCTTAGTTGGGTTCATCAGGGTCACAGACCTCCAATTCTACTACATATTGTAACTGGCAACAGCGGCACCAGGAGCCTAGAAAGATCTGTGCCATGCATTCCCGGGAACAGTTTGGCAGCATCCAGGCTTTCATATCTCTTGAGGTAGTGGTTGGTCTCTGGGCTAGATCCCTATAGAGATAGATTTTAAGGTTTTTTCTTGTTAAAACAAAAAGCTATAAATTCATGAGATTCACCTTGGCTGGTATCGATAGTGTCTTTAGGCAATCCTCACGTCCATTTCTCACCAGTTCCCTTTCAAAGGCCCTTCACAGGCTGTTCCCATCCCTTTCGGCCCCTCTCAAATATCCAAACACATCTCTAGGCCCCTCATTCCTGGTGTGTATCCTCGACAACCTCCTCACCAAGGCTGGGAATTTGTAACATAAACCCACTTACCTGCTTTCCTCTCTATCTAAAACTTTATCTGGGTCATCACTTACCCTTTTTCCTTCCCTCCTTTTAGGGGAAAGACGTGCCCACCTCCTTCCTAAAGCTCACCCTGATACTTGGGCTCTTGATTTAACCCTCTCCTGCCTCCTCTGGGACCTCATTTCCTTGCTCATATCTTCGAGCTCTCTCTCTCTCTGATTTCTCCGTGGTTCTTCTTCTCTTTCTTTTTCTCTCCCTTGGTAATCACATCCACTGCCATACCTGCAACTTCTAGAATCTGTATCTCCAGCCAGAACTCAAAATTGCCTTTATAACTGCCTGCAAAACATTACCACGTGGATGCCTGTAGGCATCTCAAATCCAAACCTGGTCCAAAATTTAACCCTCCCCTGCCCCTTTAACACACTTCCTTTACATTCCTGGTTATACTCCCTGGTTAAAGACTTATCCATCCTCCGAGCTTCTTAGACTCACACCTCTGGAGATATCTTTGGCCCCTGTCTCACTCCTCACAGCCAGTAAGTAAACCTTGTTTACTCTACCATTCTTTCCATCCCTCCTTTCCATTCCAGCTACCTAGGTGCGCCCATCTTCACTTCTTATCTGGATCACTACAATAACCTTCAAAGTGACCGCTGTGTGTCTTCCCCCCACTCCCTCCAATTCATTTCATGAGGTCATTTTTCTTAAGGCCAGCCTGTTCACGTCCCTTTCCTTCTCAAAAATCTCCTATTGCCCAAACTCAGGTCAGCACTGGAGGGTCAGGAACATAAGAGTCATGGAGAAAATGGAATTTCCTAGTTATCATATGCTAGGTAGACACCAAAGGAAAAGAAGGGAACTTAAAACAGACTTTATGAAGAAGAAGAAGGTCTCTTTGAAAGAGGAAGTGGTAGGAATAGGTAGGTTTCTCCCCTAATACGTAAACTTAGCAACACAATTAACCTAATGATTTAGATTTCTCCCTAATGGATTTAAGTTTAGAGATCATGGACTCTGGACAACTGGCATCCTGGCAAGACTGAAACCAAGAAGATTCCTCATTACTATCAAGTCTTCCCTGTCCTCCCTCTTCCACAAACACAGTAAGTCCCTGTTGTGGTCTTTGGGTGGCAACGGCAATGGGTGGTTTGCCTCGGGGACTGAGGAACACCATTTGCCTGTAATTTAGCCCTGAAGCTAAATGTGGTGACCTTGGGTTACAGCTGTATTAATTCTATGTATTCTACTGACCTTCTGAACTTATTTTTGTTAAAAAGTAGAACACATCAGAGTTTGAACAATATGCTGAAGAAGCAATTCTACTGAAAGAAAGACAGGTCAGGCTTGAGCTGATAGAGGAACCCTAACTTTATCCAATCATCTGAATGAGCATCCCCAGCCCTCAACCTGCCTCCAAAGCGTGGCGGAGAACAGCAGAATAAAAAATCGCAGAGAGGAGAAAGGGAAATTTTCAAGTTAGACTCCTTTAATCTTTAATAGGGAATTATTCTGGACTTTAATTTCTCATTAGGAATACAACAACAAGAAGAGTTCATATCGGGGATTTTTACATTGCTGACATGTTAGCTGAAGCATTTTTATACTAGCTTATTATTAATTTTATTATGTAACAATACATCTCAACATAAGTTGAAATAGGAAATAATATTAAACATTTATTAAGCACCTATCAGGCACCATTCCAAGTGCATTCCATGCATTAACCTATTTAAACAGCCCAACAACACCATCAGGTCAGTACTAGAAATAGTCCCATTTTACAGAGGAGGAAGCTAAGGTGCAGAGAGGTTTAAGTAATGTAGCTAAAGTCACATAATAAAAATTCTTACCTACAAATTTCCAGCTTTAGGTGTACTATAGCTTTGAAGTTAACTTAATTCATCTAATTAATATTCTCTTCTGATCCATTTCAGAGCCTTCTATGGGCAAACACTGAACTGCCAACCAGGGGCCGGCCCCATGGCGTAGCGGTTAAGTGTGTGCACTCCACTGCTGGCGACCTGGGTTCAGATCCTGGCGCGCACCAACGAACCGCTTGTGGGGCCATGCTGTGGTGGCGTCCCACATAAAGTGGAGGAAGATCGGCATGGATGTTAGCTCAGGGCCAGTCTTCCTCAGCAAAAAAAAGGAGGACTGGCATGGATGTTAGCTCAGGGCTGATCTTCCTCACAAAAAAAAAGAACATGAACAGCCAACCAATGGTCCCAGCTGGAGCCACTAGTGCTATCAGAGAAATGGCCTCACCAAGGTGGAAGCAGGAGATCCTGATAACTGTCCCTGATGATGAAAGTCCCAGAGCATGAATAGCCCACTGGTGACGACCAGACTGTTAAGTCCAACAGGTTAAAAGAATTAAAAGTCAGTAAGTGCGCGTGCTCCGCTGCTGGCGGCCCAGGTTCGGGCACGCACCGACGCACCGCTTCTCTGGCCATGCTGAGGCCACACCCCACGTACAGCAACTAGAAGGATGTGCAACTATGACCTACAACTATCTACTGGGGCTTTGGGGAAGAAAAAAAGGAGGAGGATTGGCAATAGATGTTAGCTCAGAGCCGGTCTTCCTCAGCAAAAAGAGGAGGATTAGCACGGATGTTAGCTCAGGTCTGATCTCCCTCACAAAAAAAAAAAAAAAAAAAAAAGAATTAAAAGTCAGGAAGTCTAGAGAGAACTTTCTCTTCCTCTACCCATAAAACAGGAATAGTCTCTCTTGGACTTACTGAGAAGAGCACTATCGATATGTCTCTCCACTCTGTATGTCATACCTGATCCTCTTCACAGAGGTGACTTCTCTCATTGGTGATATTGAGAAATGGTCATTACGCGCATACTGCCCAGTGTCTTTAGCAATAAACCACAGTGGTGAAGAGCATGGCCTCTGAAGCCAAACTGCCAGGTTTGAACCCTAATTCCACCACTTGCTAGCTGCATAACTTATGGAAGTTTCTTAAGCTCTCTGTACCTCCGTCTCCTCACCTGTAAAACTGGGAACAATAATAGTACATAACTCAGAGGATAGATGCCACTTAGAAGACAGCCTAACAGAAAGGAAATATTCATTAAATGTTAACTATTATGATTATTACTATTTAGACTCTCACAAAGACCTACTTCAAACCTCCTCTGTACTCATGCCTCTCCTATATACTAAGCCCACTGAGTCAGGCTCTGACCCCATGGAGGAAAACCTGAAATAACCCATCTCCTCTACCTGGAGTGGGGGAGGTAAGTTCACTTCAAGGCAAAAGAAATAAGAAGCCCACTGAGACTCAGATGCAGGCCATGTGCTCCTCTCTGGCTTTACCAGCAGTACAGCTGACATTTAGATCCCTATTTAGCTCCCATGTGTATTTTTCAACTAGTCTGAACACCAAGGAGAGAGAGCGTGACTAATTTGTACCTTCACACTCTAACACCAAAAGATGCACGATACTTGTACCCCAAAGAACATACGTCACACAAGTCCAGAAATCAAGGTGACAGGAATATTGCTTAAATGGCAAGGGGAAAAGAGACACCAAAAAGGAAGCATATGTAGTTCAAATGCAGAAGTACATACATCTTTACATAGGCACTAACTGTGGTCAATGGAGAAGACACTTTTTGTACAAGACAGGGGAACATGTATATGACACTAATGTGTCCTTACATGAATGATACCGACAAGCTTGCTAAGAATAAACACACAGGTACACAATCAGAATAAAAACAGTTTTAAAGTTATCTCTGCAGCTGTTTTACTAAAGAAACACAATTTTTTAAGGATTTGAAAAGCCCTGATTGGTTACTGACTGAGGCAGCCCTTGGGGTAAGTCTGCCCCGAGTTCAGTTGTGGGGATGGGGGCGTTCTCAGTCAAGCACTTACTACAGAATTCCGCATACTCAGCCGGCAGCAGGAAGGTCTGAGGCAGGATGTGGAAAGCCTTGAATCCATGCGTATGCTGCATTCGAATGATGTTTTTGTACAGTCGGTCCTTCCGGGTTAGTTCATACGACCTAAAAATCATAAAAGTATTCCCATTTCAGTAAACCATGACTCAGAGGTTTTCCTGTGTTACCATATTCTAAAAAGTTTATAGTTTACAGTTCTAGAGCAGTTACTTGGGATAGTATTATATCCCAAATCTATCCCTTTGTCAAGCTCAAAAGTTTATTAATCATTTTCATGAAATGGATTTCTTAGGTAAGATTTATTCATTAAGGTATAATTTACGTACAGTAAAATCTACCCTTTTCAGTGTATAAGTCTATGAGTTTGAACAAACACATACAATTAGGTAACCACCACCAACATCAAGGTATAGAACAGTTCTAACATCCCAAAAAGTTACCCTAAGTCCCTTTGTAGTCAACCCTGCCAATCACCTCCAGGCCCTGGCAAACATTCCTCTGTTTTCTGTCCCTATAATTTTGCCTTTTTCAGGAAGTCAAATAAATGGAATCATATGGTATGTATCCTTTTGAGACTGGCTTCTTTCACTGAGCATAACACAGTTGAGATTTATGTTGCATGTATGTATTTCATTCCTTTTTACGGCTCAGTAGTATCCATTGTTTGGGTGTACGCGGTTTGTTTATCCATCCTCCAGTTAAACGACAAAAGAGCTGTTTCTAGTTTTTGAAGATTATGAATAAAGTCGCTATAAGCATTTGTGTACAGGTTTTATATGAATATAAATTTTTGTAAGTTTTTTGTGAACGTAAGTTTTCATCCCTCTAGGAGTAGGATTGCTGGGTTTAATAAGATTGTTTAGTAAGTTGTATTAGCTATCTATTATTGCTGCATAATAAATTACCCCAAAACATAATAGCTTAAAATAATAATAAATATTTTTTATCTCACACAGTTTCTGTGGGTCAGGAACACAGGAGTGGCAGAGCTGTCCACTGTAGCAGTGGTAGTTCTGTCTTGGTAGCTCTTCTTGTCCTGAGGTTACAGTCAAGATGTTGGCCAGGGTGGCAGTCATCAGGCTTGACTGGGGCTGGAGGACCCACCTTCCAGATGCTCACTCATAGGGGGCTGGCTGTTGGCAGGAAGCCTCAGTTCCTCCCCATGTGAATTTTTCCATAAGGCTAATTGAGTGTCTTTATGACATGACAGGTGGTTTCTCCCACATCAAGTGATCCAAGAGAGAAACAGAGCAAGAAAGAAGCTGCAAAGTCTTTTATGACGTAGTCTCAGAAGTAACTTACCATCACTTCTGCCATTATATTCGTTAGCAGTAAGTCACTAAGTCTAGCCCACATTCAAAAACAGAGAATTAGGCTCAACCTTTTGAAGGCAATGTCAAGGAATTTGTGGACACATTTTAAAACCACAAGTATATGTTTAACTTTACAAGCAATGACCAAATTGTTATCTAAAGTGGCTGTACCATTTTGCAATTCCCACCGGCAAGGTTTCAGTGTTCCAGTTGCACTGCATCCTGATCAGCACTTGGCATTGCCTGGTTTTTTGCTTTGTTTTTAGCCATTCTAATAGCTATGTAGTAACACCTCATGTGGTTTTAATTTGCATTCTGCTAAAGACTACCGATGTTGAACAACTTGTCATGTCCATATATGGTCTTTGGTGAAGTATCTGTTCAAATATTTTGCCCATTTTGAAAAATAAGATTGTTCCTTTATCATTTAGTTTCAAGAGTTACTGTATATTCTGGATACAAATTCCTTATCAGATATATGTTTTGCAAATAGTTTCTCCCAGTCTAGGGCTTGTCTTTTCATTTTCTTAACAGTGTCTTTCAAAGAACAGACATTTTAAATTTTGATGAAGTCCAATTTATCAATTTTTTTTCTCTTATAGATTGTGCTTTTATTGTTATATCTAAGAAATCTTTACCTAATCCAAGGTCATAAAAATTTTCTAAATGTTTTCTTCTAGAAGATTTAGTTTTAGGTTTTACATTTAAGTCTATGATTCTTCTTGCCAAATCGGCTTTTTAAATTTGATTTATAAGTATAAAATATATTATAAAATAGACTTCAAATATACACAAACAAGAAAAGACTGTGTTCTAAGTTTGACTTTTGATAAATATACTCAAATTTAGAGGGTCCAGAAAGTAAATACATCAAATAAATTCTAGTCTCATAAAGCTTCATGAACAGTCTGTGACTATTCACCACTACAAACAATTATGAAATATTTTAGGAACACTATGTGCTTTATTTTAAAATCTTTTATTTATTTATTTTTTCCCCCAAAGCCCGAGTAGATAGTTGTATGTCATAGCTGCACATCCTTCTAGTTGCTGTATGTGGGACGCGGCCTCAGCATGGCCGGAGAAGCGGTGCGTTGGTAAGCGCCCGGGATCCGAACCCCGGCCACCAGTAGCGGAGCGCGCGCACTTAACCACTAAGCCACGGGGCCGGCCCTATGTGCTTTATTTTAATTGAATCATAATTCATTAATAGTACCAAAAAATCTGGATTACCCAAATAATGAAAAAACACTAGTATATCAACTAACAAGTTCCAAATCCAAAGCATTCTGGGAATTTTTATGCCACAAGTATCCAGAGGATGTGACCTTCTGAGATATATGGCCTGACAAAACATTTCTCAGTTAATCCCAAGTGTAGATGCAGACCGATTAAGATACTAAAATATCAGAATTTCTGAGAAATTTTATTAATTTGTTTTTAGAAAGAAAGGTTAGTATCTTGGAAAACAGGACTGTCCAGGAAAATAAAACATGTGGCCACTTTATCCATATATATAGACCTAACACCACAGCAATAATTGCACAACCTCTCAGATACCTATATGGAACTTGTACCATTAGTATAAGTACCAATGGTCTGATATGTTTCACCTGCATAGTGCCCAAGACAGATCTTAATTTTAGACTGCAATGATCCCACTGTAGTCAAGTCCCAGATTACTAGGTTAAGAATCCCACTGACAACTAAACTACATCATTGAGATATGGATATATAAGAGGTAAAATTTTAAAGAAAACAAAGGATATGATCACCTTAAAATTCAGGGCAATCATTGCTGCCTATTGGGGAGTGTATTCTGGCATACTACAAAAAGGCACCTCAGTTAGCCTCAACTGGACTCATGAGTCTATGGTTTATGCCACCATTTAAAAACCATCTAAGGGGGGCCAGCCCAGTGGTGTAGTGGTTAAGTTTGCACTCTCTGCTTCGACGGCCTGGGGTTCGCAGGTTCGGATCCCAGGCGCGCACCGATGCCCGCTTGTCAAGCCATGCTGTGGTGGCGTCCCATATAAAGTAGAGGAAGGTGGGCACAGATGTTAGCCCAGGGCCAATCTGCCTCAGCAAAAAGAGGTAGATTGGCATCTGATGTTAGCTCAGGGCTAATCTTCCTCACACACACACACACAAAAATAAAATAAAATAAAAACCATTGAAGAATCTTTGTTGTAACCGTTAAAAACTTACTCTATCTGTTCCTCAGTTCAAATTTTTTATTATGATTTCTTAAATTCAAAGGTTGCTTTGCCAAATCCAGGTATTACAAATACTTCTTTCTTATCCACTGTCCTCTTGAGAAATCTAGAGCATAGGTATTAAATTTTAGTGTACATAAGAATCACCTAGAGAGTTTCTTTAAAATGCACGTTCCTGGCCCCAGCTCTCAAAGTTCTGGGATGACGTCTAGGATTCTGCATTTTAAACAAGTACCTCAGGTGATTTGGTACAGGTGGTCCAGAGGCCACTCTATAACACTCATTTACTCTAGTTTCACAGTCTCCAAACTAGGTGGATATACATTGCTTTTTAATATATATATGCCACAGGTATCTAGAGGTTTTAAAATATATAGCTTTCTAGGTGTATATTTACTTAGAAAGATTAAGCACATAGAAGGTGTTTTTTAAACACACATCTTCCCTGGGATGGTGATTCCATGAATCTGCAATGGGACCTGTGAATGTATATTTTTAAAAAGTACCCTCGGTGATTCTTATCATTAAGGAATTAGAAACACCGAACCAAAGGATAAGAAGAAGAACACATTCTCCTACAGATGTCCAGTTTTTAGTGGTCTCAAAACTGTTTTGCTTGGTATATACCCTATACAAATTTTGGGAGACTATATATCATTTTAGTCGGCATCTAAGATTTTTCATCATAAATTGAAATTGTTCCAAAGGATCCAATGAACGGCAAATATTATTTTAAAATATAACTGTAACACTACGGTTTTAAGTATATTCAAGGGAACCTAAATAACATCAGGATTCACTAGCCACCATACATTTAAAAAATGTTACTAAAGAAAAAGCTCTTTTTTGTCAGTAAATTTTTCACTTTTTTAAATATACTTTTTACTGAAGTTAACATATATACAGAAAAGCACACAAATCACCACTAGTGCAGAGCATGAAGAATTTTTACAAAGTGAACACACCAAGTGAACACACACAGACTGAGTATAGAACATTCCCAGCAAGCCAGAAGCCTCCCCCAAACTCCCACCAAGACATTATCCCCCCAATCACTCTTATTTTTACTTTTTCCATTCTATTTCCTCCAAAGAACAGCTTAGCCTAATAGAACATATTTAATGCTCATAAGTTTTTCACATCCTATCATACCTTCTCTACAACAAAAATATGCATATGAATTAATATGTAATATTTTTAAATTTCCTGTGATCATAAGGCTTTAACTGTTTATATTGGACTGATTATCAATGCAAGTATTATAGTACACAATTCATCAAAACACCATAAATATTATAAATTCTGGTTAAAATGTACATTATACCAATGTAAATTTCTCCATTTTGATAATTATACTATGATCATAACTGATGTTAACATTAGGAGAACTGGGTAAAGGATACATAGTAACTACATTATTTTTGCAACTTTTCTATAAGTCTACAATTACTAAAAATAAAAAGTTAAAAAATTATATTAAGAAAGAGTTCACAAAAACATGGAAACATTTTAAGTGTTAGAATTCCTCTTGCATGTGAGTTAGAAGTCTTTGGATTGAAAAAGGAGAGATATAGTAGCAGAAGCCACAAAGTGTATGCATTTAGGTAACTGATTATTCTGTCTTTTTTTTTTTTAATTTGTTGTTTATTGCAGTAACATTGGTTTATAACATTGTATAAGTTTCAGGTGTACATCGTTATACTTCTATTTCTGCATAGATTACATCATGTTCACCACCCAAATACTAA